GTGTTTCTAGCTGCAGTTGGTGGTTACGGCGTTGGGTTTTTCTTCTTTGGGAGTAGGGCTTTCGACAAACGGACGTTTGTTCCCTCCGTGAAAAATACTGATCTCCCGCCGATGAACTGTTGTTGATGATGATCGGAGTTTGTTGGATCCGAGTCACATTCATTGGAATTTTAGAAAATATAAATTTAGTCCTCTAAGTTAGGCTATTTTGATTTTTAGCGTTACTTGAATTAAATTTTAGGATAAATTACACCTACACCCATGATGTATGGTAAATAACTGTAAGATCCCTGTGGTGTTGGCAGTGGCGAATCCAGGATCTTTGTCAAGGGTGTTCGAAATTAAATATAGTAAAAAAATATAATGGTCGGCTAATAGTTTACGGGGGTTCGGGGGCAGCCCCCCAATATTTTTTTTTGAATACTGTACACATTAAATAATAAAAAATCTTTAAAATTTTTTAATTTAAAGGGATTATTTTACCATTTTTGGACAAATTTAGGAAATATTTAGACATAAAATTGGTGAAAATATTAAAGGAGTGGTAAACATATTAAAGTTGCAAGTGACAAAATGTACATTTCATTAGCCGATTTTGAATTTTCAAAAAGAAAAAAAAAACCCACATAGTTGTAAATTTAGAAAAAAAAATTGAATTAATACATATATATACAATATTTAGAATTTTGGAATATTTATATTATATTTAATATTAAAGAAATGGTAAATAAATTAAAGTTACAAATAGCAAAATTCAAAAAGAAAAAAAAACCACATAGTTGTAAATTTAGAATACATATATATACAATATTTAGAATTTTGAAATATTTATATTATATTTAATATTAAAGAAATGGTAAATAAATTAAAGTTACAAATAGCAAAAATTCAAAAAGAAAAAAAAAACCCCACATAGTTGTAAATTTAGAATACATATATATACAATATTTAGAATTTTGGAATATTTATATTATATTTAATATTAAAGAAATGGTAAATAAATTAAAGTTACAAATAACAAAAATAATATTGAGCACAGTTAGGTCTCGAACCCTGTACCTCTGCAGAAATATATAGAGCACTTAACCAGTACAGCTATAGCATTGTATTGGCTGTATTTTACATTTGCAGTTATATATTACTAAATATATAGGAAATAATTTTTTTTTAAAATCAAGGATGTGCAGTAGCACACCCTTGGACCACCCTAGATACGCCACTGGGTGTTGGTAACTACAGTCACACCCCTGAAACAATTATCGGAGAATATTTCATATCCTAGGGGCCGTTAACTACAGTCACACCCCTGAAACAATTATCGGAAAATATTTGTTTGAAACGATATGCACCATATTTGTTTCCCAAGGGGCCGTTAATGCTACCATAGACGAAAATTTGTAAATCGTATATAAAATAATAAGGATTTAAGAAATGTTAGGAAAATCATGTCACTCCCTAGCTCTATGTTGTCTCCACCATTGCGTGAAACTAATAGTCTGTTAAAACTCCAACATAATAACTTATTCAATCCATTATTTCGTTAGAGTTTCTAACAATATTTCATGGGGGTTAGTAGTAGTAATTACCGATACTATGGAAACCTTAAAGTTATTTCAGCATACCTCAGAGGTGTAGGCTTAATTTACCCTAAATTTTATTGTATTTTTTAAATTTAGCAATTTGTTCTAGGTGTACCTCTTGTAAAATTACTGTATAATATATTTAAGGGTAAATTATGAAAAACCCCTTAAATTAGGCAAAATTATGGAAAACACCTCACCTAGATGTGATTACTAAAGCTTGATCTTTGTTTCCGTCTTACACCAACCCTAGTACAGTGTAATTGTTTAATTAAATCTTTTTTATTCTAAGAAATATTTCTCAAAAAATGTCGATAAAACCCTGCAGATGTCGACAGATTGAAAGTAGCCATGCACGCTGTTTAAAAAACTGTCTATATATATATATATATATATATATATTATGATGGTTCGTATCAACAATCGAG